CTCTCTCTCTCTCTCTCTGGCTCGCTCGCTCGCTCACTCGCTCGCTCGCTCTCCCCCTCCCCCTCTGTCTCTCTCTCTCTTTTCTCTCTCTTTTCCTCTTTCTCTTCCTCTCTCACCTTTATCCTCCGAGTATCTTCTTTGTATCCTTTGGTGCAGTTTTCGTAGGACAGGGGAATGCTTTCTTTTTTCGAAATGATTGCTAGATCATAGTTGCACATTCGGTCGAACGTTATTCAATTTTTTTCCTTCTTTCTTTTGCTCGATCACGAATTATCGAGTTGAGCCCGTTCGTTCGTTTTATCCTCGAACTGGAATTGGATAATATTTCGAAAGCTCTCGTCTAATGAATAAATCTGGCGAATTGAGAGGAAAAAAGAATAAAATAATTGGGCCGAGCGACGAAGAAATTCATACCTGGATAAACAGAGGTGTGTTCCTAGCGTTCGATGAGTAGGAGACGACAATCGGGGGCAAACGATGAGAAGTGGAGGAGAAGGGAGAAAACGAAGGGAGAAGCGAAGCAAAGCGGAACGTAACGGAACGAAGCGGAGCACCGTCAACGGTAGCAGCACCAGCATCGTATTTCGTTGTACCGCGTTTAATTGCATTCCAAAATGGCTCTGTGCAAAATCGACTCGCGACGATCCTCCATTTGTCCTCGTTCAGCCCCTTGAAACGCGACGGAAAGCGAGCCGTTGGCATCTTCACCGGTGTAAATCCGGATAAATTAAACCGGACTATCTCTCTCGTAGATTTGAACTCCGCGTTTACGGCTCGACATCGTTTTGTCCATGACGAGAACGACGTGGACGACGATGTCAAGTATCTACGGTTTCACCTAAAACAAGGCTAGAGGAACAAAGCGCACAGAGGGGCTTTGCGACAACACTTTCATAAGTGGCGCGTGCTTAACTCTGGAAGAAGAGACGTCCCCAAAAGGGAGGGAACTTTTATCGAAACGTAATATTTTAAAAATCATTAATTGTGTCGTTGATGATCGAAACCGAAGCGCGGTTCAAATTTCGCAATAAAATAGTGCCCGATCCAACGATAAACGAAAGAACGCCTTTGACGCACCTCGTATTTCTTCTATGCAAACACGTAGCTCGCTAGTGGATAGTGTGGATAGGTACGTTTATATATCTCTAAAATTAATATCGGCGAACAATAAGCGGTGCGTTCGGCACGCGGGGATCGAAAGTTCCGACACGACGCGGCGGTCGCGTTGGTGGCCGACATCGGACACCGGCTCGTCGAGATAGCGACTATCTTTGCGCGCTCGTGCATTACATATACGCGAGACGACTAGAATCGTCGACGATCGGTCGACCGAATTTATTTTTAGAAACTATTCGTACGTTCTCGGTACGAGCAGGTGAGCTAGTACGATTTATTCTAAATTTCTCTTTAATTCGTTTCTCGTTCCTTCGTTTCTCATCTCGTTCAATATTTTTCATCGATTTCGAAACGAAACGTTTCCACGATCGGTCTAACAGATCACAGAGATTCGGAAAGAGAAAAAGAGAAAAACGCGAGATTATTCTCGTTTCGCGGGACAATGAAATATCGTGTTAGCGAGAGGATTAAGCGACGTAATCCGTCGGTTATTTTCCCATTAACGGCTCGGGGTAGAGAGATCGGTGTAGGAGATTCTTTGGACGGACGGAAAACGCGAACAGGCGTGAACACAGGTAGCCGAGACCTTTCTAATGCTAGAAAATATGCCCTTTATGTGTCACTGGCCACTTTATGCCGTGGTTCCGTGTCAGTAGGTTCGCGTTCCAGATTCGACAACGGAACAAAATCGGAACGGTCGAGCTTCTTCTTCGTCGTGTCTATCTTTTTTACAACTTCGATATCGTCTTGAACTTCTCGAAAGTGAAAGCAGATGTTTGACAAACGTTGATCCGATTGAATTTCTACTTCGATACCACGAACAGTTTAATCTTCTTTTATTGTTTATCCGATAAAAGATTCGATTTTAGAGGAGACTCGCGATGCGAGCGAAGATCTGTTAATTGTTATTTGTTAACAGATAGAGATATGAAATCGCATCCAATGTAATTTACGGAGGGAAATACGTAGCGAAATACGTAGGATGTCCTAATAGGCTAAAATTGCCGATTACACGGTTAGTTAGGCGCGCTCAGTGATTTGAGGGTAGTCGAAACGGTGGACTGTCATCGTCCCTATTGTAACGGGCATCGGCTAAACACATTGCGCGAGGAACGGGCTTATAACACAGAATGATCGGTCCGGGGATGAGATTAAAAGGACTTCTAAGAGACATCGTTCAAAGAACGCTCCAAAAAATCGTGTTATCTCTTTTGCGTTTCAGCTTTTTTCGCGCTACTTTTGACCAATCGCGCCCTACTTTTTTAATAAAAAAAACTTTGTTAAAAAGAAAAAGATTCTTTCTTCTTTTCCATTTCAGGCGTATTATATCATTCATCGCGTCATATATCAATATAGACGAGTTAAAAATGCGACTGCAAAAAAAACGTTTGTTCCGTTCGATTTATCTTTGTATAATACTTAAGCGCATATTTGGTATTTTGACTTGACGTTGGCACGTTACTTGATCGAAGAAACCGTTCCTAATATGCGCTACCTCGCACATTCGACCTCCTCTTATCTGCGAGGTTTGTGTCAGGTGAGTTTTGTGGGAAAAAATGGTGGACGCAGGTCTCTCGCTAGAATCGTCTTTCGCTGACTCGCACGATTTATCTGCAGGTAAAGTACGACTTTTGCATAGTGGCATAAATCTGCCAAGACCTACAAACTCGTTCTCACACTTGTTTCTTTTTATTTTTCTATTTTTATACATGTATATATATACATATATATATATATTAAAATTCGTAGTAAAAACTTCTAGGAAAGGAAAATTAATTAAATTCGTTCTTATTTAACAAATAAATGACAGATGTTTGTGAAATCTCGACGATACGCACTATGTTCGAATACCAGATTCGGACGATTCGAAATTTTTTCGAAAAAATTCCCATCTCATTCCGCTTCCTGTCGTGGACAACGCGCCCGTGCCCGCACTCGCATCAACAATAAAGGCTTGACGCCATAGAGGTATTTGCCACTGTTATGTCGACAATATGTTCCGGATCCTTAATAACGACAGCGAGCG